TAACCCTCCAGAGGTCGATAGACCTTAATGACCCTCCAGAGGTCAATAGACCTTAATAACCCTCCAGAGGTCAATAGACCTTAATAACCCTCCAGAGGTCGATAGATCTTAATAACCCTCCAGAGGTCGATAGACCTTAATGACCCTCCAGAGGTCAATAGACCTTAATAACCCTCCAGAGGTCAATAGACCTTAATAACCCTCCAGAGGTCAATAGACCTTAATAACCCTCCAGAGGTCAATAGACCTTAACCCTCCAGAGGTCAATAGACCTTAATAACCCTCCAGAGGCAGCCAGGCCTCAATTAAGCCCAACGCCAAACCAAATCATATACATAATTTATACAAAGCAAATATATATATTGTATTAACTAATAATATTAAATACTACATCAATTATTTAGGAGAGATAATTGGAAGGTATCTGACGTCTGCCTGTGTTATCCGTATATATTTATCTATAAGTATTGGCGATTTGACAGCGTTCCAATTTAAGTATCTCTAATAACTATATACAACATGTTCTACCTATTATTTGTATCAATGCTATACATTATTTCGTATTATTTTAATATATACATTTAATGGTGTACATAGTTATTCTTAGTGTACAACAAGGTGCAAGGTTGCACTCACCAGTATTTGCAACTGTCTGAGAGAACCGTGAATTGGTTGTAATGGTTCCGTGTCTGCCTGGTTGGGCTGGTGTTGGGATTAAGGCCTATCAACCTCTGGGTGGGGGGGGGGGGAGGAAAGGGGTATTATTAAGGTCTATCAATCTCTGGAGGGTTTATACATACTAAGGTACATCTTCAGATCCTTCTGAAGATGAATTATTAAATACGAAAATGCTTAAGGATATTCCTGTCTTAATATGATATATATATATGTCGTACCTAGTAGCCAGAACGCACTTCTCAGCCTATTATGCAAGGCCCGATTTGCCTAATAAGCCAAGTTTTCCTGAATTAATATATTTTCTCATTTTTTTCTTATGAAATGATAAAGCTACCCATTTCATTATGTATGAGGTCAATTTATTTTTATTTTAGTTAAAATTAACGTAGATATATGACCGAACCTAACCAACCCTACCTAACCTAACCTAACCTATCTTTATTGGTTAGGTTAGGTTAGGTAGCCGAAAAAGTTAGGTTAGGTTAGGTTAGGTAGGTTAGGTAGTCGAAAAACAATTAATTCATGAAAACTTGGCTTATTAGGCAAATCGGGCCTTGCATAGTAGGCAGAGAAGTGCGTTCTGGCTACTAGGTACGACATATATATATATATATATATATATATATATATATATATATATATATATATATATATATATATATATATATATATATATATATGCAAAGGGGTAGTGTACACGCTACGTTATTAAAACATTTAGCGATGAAAAGCATTGCTGAGATTGCTCAGGTTATGGGTACCGGTGCTCATCAGTATTATACTGATGACTCTGTAGAGAGATGTGCATGTAATATATTAAAACGACGATTAATTGATGAAGATTAAGCCACCCCAAGAGGTGGCACGGGCATGAATAGCCCGTAAATGGTAATTTTTTTTGTTGGAGAGTGAATGTGATCTTTGGTAGTGAATATTTAAACGATTTTCTCCCTCACTCGTATAACACTGAAGCGTGTCAAAGTGCGTGTTTGGCGTGCGGATTAACGAGCTGTTGGCCCTTGTTAACGAGGGTGGGATGGCCAGGGCCTGCGGACTAAGGTCAGGAGTTGTGTATATATTTACATGTTTGAGCTATACGGCTCGAGACGTGGGAAGTACACCATCAATTATTTTGCAATACTGAATCCACGAACATTTGAGAAGAACTTACCGTACTGGACTTGTCCTTTTGTCCACTCTGGAGTTGCTCTGGCACAGCTGGCTGTCCATTCGCACACACAGCTGGTCCAGTGTCCACACACACAGCTGGTCCAGTGTTCACACACACAGCTGGTCCAGTGTCCACACAGCTGGTCCAGTGTCCACACAGCTGGTCCAGTGTCCACACAGCTGGTCCAGTGTCCACACAGCTGGTCCAGTGTCCACACAGCTGGTCCAGTGTCCACACAGCTGGTCCAGTGTCCACACAGCTGGTCCAGTGTCCACACAGCTGGTACAGTGTCCACACACACACACAGCTGGTCCAGTGTCCACACACACACACAGCTGGTCCAGTGTCCACACACACACACAGCTGGTCCAGTGTCCACACACACACACAGCTGGTCCAGTGTCCACACAGCTGGTACAGTGTCCACACACACACACAGCTAGTCCAGTGTCCACACACACACACAGCTAGTCCAGTGTCCACACACACACACACACAGCTGGTCCAATATACTTCTGTCTCCCTCCGTACGCTCCCTCATCCAGCGCTTCTCCAACCTGCTCCGCGGTACTCAACATAATTACGGGTTCCGCAAGAGATATTGATATATAGGCTAATTCTAACCATATACAAATGTATTTAAGAGTAATACTTGTTGTGTTTAATTTATCCCATTTAACCAGCATGAAGAGCAAAGACAGAAATCGTTATCCTTTAACGTTGACAATTAAATCCGTGGGTGTGCGTGTTTTTTTTATCGAGTGCGTGACCCGGAATTATTTCCAGAATTGAACCCGGTGTCTCATCTTTTGGTCCTCTGTTTCTTGTTGACATAATTGGTGTGTTTGGGTCGTAATAGGGAGTATATCTTATATTACACTCTATACCGTATAGTATATTATTGTAGATTTTCTGCTATTATTTATGTAATTGGTTTAGTTGCCACTTTTTACCATTATTTGTCTAAGATAAGTCATTTCTAGTTATTATTGGGAGATTTAGTCTTTTCTACCTAATACATATTTAAACTTTGTCTGCCAGTAAAGTTTAATTTTAGTAGTTAGTTATCTATCTCACTTTAAGTTACATACTGGAGGCAATATAGCGCAGCGCATCGCGTCTCTGTCCGTCCTGGACCTTTGGAAAGAGTCCAGGACGGACAGAAACGTCGTGAACCCCCCCACCATATCATACCTATCTGTGAAATCGACGCTGATGCAACACTGAAGCATTCAATATGCAATAAAGCATTTAGATCAATGTTGATATGACATCACTCGAGAAGGTCGCGTCCGCAAAGGAATTGTCCTTTAATCTCATTTCAAGTGTTATTTGATTATTTGCTGTTTCAACAGTGGTGGTGGAGATGCAGACTTGCAAACGCCTGTATATATATATATATATATATATATATATATATATATATATATATATATATATATATATATATATATATATATATATATATGAAGGGACTTCCCTAGACCCAGTATCAAGTGTAAATTGTCTGCAACACCAATTTAAATATGGTTATTTTATCCGTATAATGATTTAGAAGGAGCCTGGCGTAGGGGTCACCTGGCGTAGGGGTCACCTGGCGTAGGGGTCACCTAACGTAAGGGTGACCTAACGTAGGGGTCACCTGGCGCTGTACGGGGTCACCTGGTGCTGCACGGGGTCACCTGGTGCTGTACGGGGTCACCTGGCGCTGTACGGGGTCACTTGGCGTAGGGATCACCTGGTGCTGTACGGGGTCACCTGGTGCTGTACGGGGTCACCTAACAATAGTGCCCAACCGCCAAAGGATCAAGACAAACAACTCAACTGTTCCAATGTACTTTATTCAGCAACAAATTCCACAGTTGATCAGCTCTGTCAATTAGTGTCTTAAAATGTACACACAATTACATTCAGTCCTCACTACTTCTGCTCCACATCAAATTAATAATACTTATTTCACAAGGAAATCTGTACATCACAAAATGTTCAAACGCATATTAAAAAAAAAAAAAAACAATGTAGCGAACACAGGTGTTACTGCGAAACATATGTATGTAAACACCCACTTGTAAGTCAAGTGATAGCTATATATCTCCCGCGCACGCGCACATTAATACAAATATTCCCAAACTACTATCACAGCTGCTACGTCTGACCAAAGAGCCAAAGCTCAACCCCCGCAAGCACAATTAGGTAAGTACTTGTTGTGGCTCTAAACTAAATAGTCCCCCCCTAACTCAACAGAAAACGGGGAGGGGAAGCAGAAGGAATATATATATATATATATATATATATATATTCCATTTCTCGGTGTATATACATTGAGAGTTAAATAGTTAAATAGACCTGGACAATATTCAGGAATAAATTAACTTGGTGGTGGTATTAATTAATCAATTATCTGGCTTCAAATACCCTCCAGAGGTTGTTTAACCCTTAACCCCCAGCACCAGAAACAACGGGAGGGGGGGGGTGGGGAGGGGGTAGTTTGATGGAAGGTCAAAAGTCGTAATTGATAAACAGACAGACATAGATGGATACAGCCAGGGCTAGAGTGTCATAGAAGGCATGTGTTATGGTTCCTAATTTTTATAACAAAACAACAATTAAATTTATTGCAGGACCGTATACCTGGCCTCCCTTGTGCTCATCATATACCACATTAGCACACACACCTGGCCACACCCCCCTCTCACACACACCTGGCTAGAACCCCCGCACACACCTAGCTCTACACCCCCACACACATCTGGCTACACCCCTCACACACCTGGCTACACCCCTCACACACCTGGCTACACCCCTTACACACCTGGCTACACCCCCCCTTGACACACGTGAACAGTGCCTCAATCCCAAGTCTGTGGTAGAAAAAGATAGTTAATTTAATAATTCAATAAGAGAGAGAGAGAGAGAGAGAGAGAGAGAGAGAGAGAGAGAGAGAGAGAGAGAGAGAGAGAGAGAGAGAGAGAGAGAGAGATAGAGAGAGAGAGAGAGAGAGAGAGAGAGAGAGAGAGAGAGAGAGAGAGAGAGAGAGAGAGAGAGAGAGAGAGAGAGAGAGAGAGAGAGAGAGAGAGAGAGAGAGAGAGAGAGAGAGAGAGAGAGAGAGAGAGAGAGAGAGAGAGAGAGAGAGAGAGAGAGAGAGAGAGAGAGAGAGAGAGAGAGAGAGAGAGAGAGAGAGAGAGAGAGAGAGAGAGAGAGAGAGAGAGAGAGAGACAGAGAGATATTCTCTAATACTTTTATACCCTCTGACGTATGTCCCATGACGGGCCTCAACAATCGACAATCGGAAATCAACTTATACGGACCTAGCCAGTCCTGCACTCAATGTCTTTGTTCAGACTGAAAGTGTCGTCTGTGAATCCTCCATGACTGTAGGCCCCCCCCCCTCCCTCGAAGGGTCGAGTCACGCTCGACCTACAACAAGAATTTCAATCCTTTTCAAGCACATCTCAGGCGCCCGTAGCGATGGACGCTTAGATCTCAACATAACTTGACATCTTTCTAAGTAGAAAACGGGTTTTTGACCGTGGACTCCTGTAACGTTGCACAACCAGTAAGGCGAGGTTGACAAGTTTGTGTACAATTCACACCATGAACAATAATGAACATCGTGTTGGGAATATTCGATTATAATTACCATAGTTGCACTTGTTAGTAATTGTTACTTAAGAGGAGTTGGAGTCAGGAGGGGTAGTGGGGGGTCTTAGGTGGTTGGGATAGGAGTCTAATTATAGTCTGGTGGTTAAGACGATGGGGTCATCCAGTGGTGATTAACACAAAGAGGTCATCCAGTGGTGGTTAACACAAAGAGGTCATCCAGTGGTGGTTAACACCAGGGGTCATCCAGTGTTTTTTTCTACAATTGAATGACGGCTTAACTTCAGTCCTCACGAAATTATCTCCAGTATACGCTCATAGAAGTGATCAGCAGCCTAAGGGTTAAGAGTTGTTGCTTCAGTTGATGCTAGTTGAGCAGGTACTGTCTGACCCACAGCAGGTTCTCCTCACTACCCGCCATCAGTTGCAGTGGTGATTGCAGTAGTTTAGTCTACACTTCGAGTAGTTCCAACGAGGGGTATGAAACATTGTAGCTGCAGTTGTTTACTACGAATTCCTAGCGTACCATTCCAGGAATTCCGTGAGAGGTGTAGCAATAGGAACCTCGTAAAGAACCCGCGGTGGAATTCGAAGTCAGGGAGGACGTTTCTGACTTTCCACAACTTCAGAATAGTGAGTATTCCCCCTCGGTTGATAGCCGCGATGGTGGTAGTGGTGGTAGTGGTGGTGTCCGTGATGGCAGTGGTGATTGCAATGCTACAGGTGCTGCAGGAGAATAGCCTAGCTAGCGGCAGAAGGGACTGAGCAGTTGCGTTTTGGCAACTCGAGGGACAAAGAGAGAGAGAGTGTGTGTAAGACGAGGGGTGGGCGGTGATTGGCTGATGCCAGTTTAGTAGCCTAGCAGTAGAACTTGTAGCAGCAGTAGTCACCTCCCGCGCTCTCCGCCCGTGGCTAGTAGTCCCGGTAGTCTCTGGGCGGGGTTCGATGCCTGACACCACCGTTCTGAGCCACAGGGGTGGTGCCCCTGGAGCGGGACCCGGAACGAGGCACTCCGTGGACGCTTCTGAAGCGACGAGACAAGTGGCGTCTGGTCTTCTTGCAGCGCTGTAGGGCGGGAGACCAGTGAGTGACGGGGTCCTGGCGCGCACACACGCACGCTCACACACACATACGCTCACACACACGCATGCTCACACACACGCACGCTCACACACACATACGCTCACACACACGCATGCTCACACACACGCACGCTCACACACGCATGCTCACACACACACGCGCACACACGCATGCTCACACACACACGCACGCTCACTCACGCATGCTCACACACACGCACGCTCACACACGCATGCTCACACACACGCACGTTCACACACGCATGCTCACACACGCATGCTCACACACACACGCGTACACACGCACGCTCACTCACGCATGCTCACACACGCATGCTCACACACACGCACGCGCACACACGCAAGCTCACACACACACATGCACGGTCACACACACACATGCACGCTCACACACACACACACGTATAAGAATATGCAACCCATCCTCCTGTTTAGACAGTACCTATTGTGACAGTGGTCAATAGTCACGAATTCGTACGTCCTTAGCTCTTAGATAGTAGTATACTGACTAGTAAGGAGTTCTTTTAAAACAAATGAAGCTAAAAAACAAACCTAAATATTCCCTAGACCTAATATAGCACACATATGTACTATATTAGGCCTCAGATATCGTGCATTAGGCCTAGGGAGGTTAGGTTAGGTTAGTTTGTCTTTACAACACAAGTAACAAATAGTTTTCCGTTCTGTGCAACTCAATAGTGCCGATTTCTACTTTCTAATTTCCTTGTACGTCGGTATATGTACTATAGTCCTCATCGGTACTATAAGTACTACCAAAACAGGAGGATGTGGGCTGGAATATTACACATGAAGTACCCACTTATGGTAAGCAATATTGGCACATAGCAACGTGCAAAATAAAAAAATGGTTTAAAAATAGAATATAACAAAGTTGCAGAAGGCCTAGGGGGCCATATATTAGGAAGCTTACACACACACACACACACACACACACACACACACACACACACACACACACACACACACACACACACACAACCAAAGAGCCAGAGCTCAACCCCCGCAAGCACAACTAGGTGAGTACACACACACACACACACACACACACACACACACACACACACACACACACACACACACACACACACACACACACACACACACACACACAATGACTCGAAAGGCGGGATACAAGAGTCAATGCTCGATCCTGCGGGCACAAATAGGTGAGTACAATCATTCATAATACATACGTTAATGCGAGCAACGGGCAGTATACATAACGGCAGAAACTAAGAGACGTCCTCACCTCATTCTTTAGAGCAAGCTTGGACTGGTAGTTAATTTTCTCGAGAGCTTGGCGGACCCACAACGGTTGGTTAGGCACCAGCCACATGAGCGCCGCCTTGGCCCCGAGGGTGACGTGCTCGAGGAGGACGAAGAGCAGCACCCACTCGACGGGAGAAGTGGTTGGCGCCAGAGGTCGTACTCGAGGAGAGAGACACAGCAGGGCGCAGTTAGTGACGACCGCCACACATCCCAACAGCTCGAAGGCCCCCTGGTGGTGGTGATGGAAGTTGATGGTGATGGTATTTCTGGTAAGTTTGGACAACAATAGCTTCCTGGACACATATATTACTTGACAGGTGAGACTGGCAGACAGTGGCAGGGCGTACTAACCTGCCAGACGCCGATGGAGCCGACCTTCTTGACCCTGGGCCGCTGGAGGACCCGACACAGCTTGAAGGCGTCTGTCTTCAGTTCGAGAATATTGTTAAGCACCGCCCAGAAGGCCGCCATTGGGTACACCGAAGAGAAGAGGAAGACGTAGCCGAACTGCAAGAACATCTCCAGGTAGTCGTCGTACGCGTCCTGTGGGGAAAGGCAAGGTTTGATCCCCCATGACTTGAGGAACAAGGCAAGACTAGGCTGTAATGAGGGCCACCGCCTCCAGTGGCCTCGGCGAGGGCAGAAAGCCGGCGGCTTGTTAAAGGTCCCCCACCATTGTTTAAGTTTTTTAAGATTAAATTGAGCAGATGGGAAATGCCTCAACTTTACTCCTCCCCCCTCTCTCTCTCTCTCTCTCTCTCTCTCTCTCTCTCTCTCTGATTGGTCGGTACAAAAAGCCCAGATCCCAAGATACAAAAATTCCCAAAGAGAACCAAATAACGAGTGGCTCATACCTCGTAAGGGTCCAGATCAGCCTCCTCCTTGGCTTGAGTGATCCTCGGGTCCTTGGGGTCGAGGGCCAGCACCGGGACGGGCTCCTCCTCCAGCGGGGCGGCGTGGACAGGACGCACCACCTCCACGAAGAACCTCTCCGTCAGGGGGTGTTTCCTGAGCGTCGCCACCACCTTCTCCGCCAGCTACAGAAGAAGGAGGAGCAGGCAAAGGGTCAAGTTAGTCTCCCAGCGCAGGCAAGCGGTACACAGGTACACACACACTTGAGGACGCTACACTGAGGCAGGGTACACACTGCAGCCGCTACTACACGTCTATAATGTGCTGGTACAGATCGTGAGTCGTACACTATAATGAATGGTACAGCCAGTAGCGTGGTACAGACTCTATCATGGTATGGTACAATGAATGATATATTTTAATTACATGAATTTTTTAGTTACTTATTTCAAGAGAAGAGGACCATACACATATATTAATATACATATACACTAATACCCATGCATAAATATACATATACACTAATGTACAAATAATAATATACATATACACCACATACACTATACACATGGCCACTACGTGAATCATTGCTGAAAGCAACCTCAGCATACACTCTGGCAGACATACACCTCTCATACAACAATACATAAGACTGTATTTACCACATGTGTGTGGAGGAGCCATATATATATATATATCAAGCCTTAACGCAACCATCTGCGAAACCTGTACATCTTTCCTGGAACAAGGCGGCCCTAGTTAATTAAACAGTTTAGGAGCTTGAAATCATCACAACCCGAGGTTGTTATGGCTATAAACAACCTCGTACCGCCTCGTTAAGAGCACATTAACTGCTTATAACCAGTGTAAACAAAGCCGCCATGTTTGAGACAAAGATGCACAGGTTTCGTACATGCTTGACACGAGTCCTAGTCCAATCCGTAAAAAATTTGACGTGTTAATCAAAATGAAAAAAAAAAACATCGTAATAAGGACATTTTCTACAGGCTTCAAAGATGGGTTGACGCTTGGAGAAATGATTGAACAAAATTGTGAACAAAAATAATTTTGAACAAAAGTGTGAACAAAAATAATTTTGAACAAAATTGTGAACAAAAATAATTTTGCACAAAATTGTGAACAAAAGCAAAGTTGAACAAAAGCAAAATTGAACAAAAACACCTTTGAACAAAAACAACTTTTCAACAAAAAGTAATTGTGAACAAAAAAAAAGCAACATTGTACAAAAAACAACTTGGAACGAAAATAACTTTGAACAAGAGTAACTGTGAACAAAGCCAAGATAATGCAGGCGGGAGAGAAGGAGCAGGAGTGTATGTGTGTGTGTGTGTGTGCGTGTGTGTGTGTGTGTGTGTGTGTGTGTGTGTGTGTGTGTGCGTGTGTGTGCGTGTGTGTGTGTGCGTGTGTGTGCGTGTGTGTGTGTGTGTGTGTGTGTGCGTGTGTGTGTGTGCGTGTGTGTGCGTGTGTGTGTGTGTGTGTGTGTGTGTGTGTGTGTGTGTGTGTGTGTGTGTGTGTGTGTGTGTGTGTGTGTGTGTGTGTGCGTGTGTGTGTGTGTGTGTGTGTGTGTGTGTGTGTGCGTGTGTGTGCGTGTGTGTGTGTGCGTGTGTGTGCGTGTGTGTGTGTGTGTGTGTGTGTGTGTATAAAACATACATTATGTTGCAATCGCGGTTAATAATAGCGGCGGCCGAGGAAGGAAAGTTGCTGGTACAATGTTTGCAACCAAGAGTGGTGGTGTCTGCTTATAATTGATGGGAAGGGGGGGAGGGGGAGGGGAAGGGGGAGGGAGGAGGTGGGAGGGGGGGGGAGGGGGGAGGGAGGGGAGGAGGGGGGAGGGGATTGGGAGAGAGGGGGGGGGGGGAGAGCTAAAGTTATCAATGCGAGCAAAGAGAGAGACGTAACAAAAGATAATGACACAGCCCTTCATTAATGCAGTATATATATATATATATATATATATATATATATATATATATATATATATATATATATAACGATATAAGGAGGGGGAACATAATAGAGCCAAAGAAGAGTAGAGGCGCCATATAGGCACGGGGAAAAGCCATGAAGATCAGAGTCAACGTGTTCAAAAAATTTCTACTACTTCTACCACAACTCTGGGAGGGGGAAGGGGGTAAAAGAACTCTTATTGCTTGTTGTTAAAGATTCGCAAACTTGGAACAAAAATTTCCAAGTAGCACGGGCTATGGAGAGCCCGTAAGAACTCTCAGAACCCTCTGCAAGTATATTCCAGGTGACTGCGGGAGTGGCGTGTGTGTGTGTGTGTGTGTGTGAATGAATGGGTGACTGTTTTAATGTTTGTATTTACAATAATTTCTGTCAACCCCATAACAATGACACCGTCCCCCCCCCACACACAAAAGGACCCCTTCTTTCCCCCACAAGAGGACCCCTTCCTCCCCCCCACTAGAGGACCCCCTCCCCCCCCCCCTACCAGGGTAAATAAACAATACCAGGAGAGTTTTCCTGGTGGAGTGGCGGCGAGGCTGGCCTGGCCTGCCCCCTGGCGGCCACACCTCAAGGCCGCCAGCTGCCCTCCTTAGTCTCTAGCTCCCTCTCTCTCTCTCTCTCTCTCCGCTGCCTTCTTCTTCTTCTTCTCTCTCTCTCTCTCTCTCCGCTGCCTTCTTCTTCTTCTCTCTCTCTCTCCCTTCCTGTTTTCCACGTTCCTTCTCGTGACCTCCAACGCTCCCCGCTCCTACGTCTTCTTTCTGATTTTACTCTCATTTTTCCTCCTTTTCTACCACCACCCTCCTCCTCATCTCCATATTTGGAAACATTTATTCTTGACACACTTACGAGTTTCTCCTGAGATTTTAGGATATATATATATATATATATATACATTGGGGATATACGCGCCTGTGAGAGAGAGGCATATGTTAGGTTAGTATGATAGAGGGAAAATAGGTCAAATAAGTCGGGAGTCAGTAATTTGACAACCGACGGCTAGAAAGGCGGGGTCCAAGAGCTAATAGTTCAATCATGCAGGCAAAAATAGTAAATCCATATAGGAAATTCATACACACACAAAAGCACTAAGTGTGCCACTCTCTATGGTGTATAAGAGGGGCCAGATTCACGAAGCAGTTACGCAAGTACTCACGAACGTGTACATCTTTCCTCAATCTTTGACGGCTTTGGTTACATTTATTAAACAGTTGACAAGCATGAAAACTTCCCAATCAACTGTTGTTATTGTTATAAGCAGCCTCCTGGTGCTTCGGAGCTCATTAACTGTTTAATAATTGTAAACAAAGCCGCCAAAGATTGAGAAAAGATGTGCAGGTACGTAAGTACTTGCGTAACTGCTTCGTGAATCTGGCCCCAGGTCACTGGAAACAGGAGACCTACCGGAAAGCTGGAAGACAGCTAATGTAGTCCCAATATACAAAAAGGGTGACAGGCAAGAGGCACTGAACTACCGGCCAGTTTCCCTAACTTGTATACCATACAAGGTGATGGAGAATACTTTGAGAAAAAGGCTCGTAGAACACCTGGATGTAAAGAGTTTTGTAACACTAACCAGCATGGGTTCAGGGATAGTAAGTCGTGCCTCACAGGCTTAATATAATTCTATGACCAACCGACACAAATTAGGCAAGAAAGATAAGGGTGGGCACTCTACATTTTCTTGGACTGTCAGAAAGCCTTTGACACAGTTCCCCATAAAAGGCTGTTACAAAAGTTGGAACAACAGGCAGGAGTAGAAGGTAAGGTGCTCCAGTGGATAGGGGAGTATCTAAGCAACAGGAAACAGCGAGTAACTGTGAGGGAGACATCAGAGTGGCGAGATGTCACCAGCGGAGTCCCACAGGGCTCTGTACTTGAACCCATCCTGTTTCAGATATATGTAAACGATCTTCCAGAGGGTATAGACTCATTCCTCTCAATGTTTGCTGATGATGCAAAATTTATGAGAAGAATCAAGACAGATGAAGATAGATAGATACTACATGACTACCTGGACAAGCTTGAGGGATGGTCTATAAAATGGCTACTAAAGTTTAACTCAAGAAAGTGTAAAGTAATGAAATTAGACGAAGAGAGCAGGAGGCTGAACACAAGGTACCATCTGGGAGATGAAATCCTGCGAGAGTCAAATAGAGAGAAAGATCTGGGGGTTGATATCACACCGAACCTGTCCCCAGAGGCCCACATCAAAAGGATATCATCAGCGGAATATGCTCGACTGGCCAACGTAAGAACTGCCTTAAGAAACTTGTGTAAGGAATCGTTCAGGACCCTGTATACCACTTATGTCAGACCAATACTGGAGTATGCAGCTCAGAACACCCCATAGAATACACAGAGGTTTCCGAAAATTAAGTTGAAAAATTACTCAAGGGGCTAGGAAGAAATAAAGCAGTTGGACCTGATGGAGTGTCATCTTGGGTGCTGCGAGAATGTGCAACTGAGCTGACCATTCCACTCCAAATAATATTCCAGACAACCTTGTGCACAGGACATCTTAGCAGATATATGGAGAAAGGAAAACATAGTACCAATCTATACAAATGATATTCAAGAAGACCTCTAAATTATAGACCTGTGTCATTAACAAGCGTGGTAGTCAAAACACTAGAAACAATAGTTAAAGCCAAATGGGTTGAACACCTAGAGAGTAATGACATAATAACACAGACAGTATGGTTTTCGAACAGGAAGATCCTGTGTAACAACTCTACTTAGTTTTTACGATAGAGCCACAGAGATACTCCAGGCAAGAGATGGTTGGTTGACTGTGTCTATCTGGACCTAAAAAAGGCTTTTGATAAAGTCCCACACAAGAGGCTGTTCTGGGAACTGAGACATGCTGGAGGGGTGACAGGGAGACTGCTGACATGGATGAAAAATGCTCTGATAGTCAGACGAGGGCAGTAATCAGAGACAATGTATCTGACCGGAGGAGTGTCACTAGCGGAGTACCACAGGGCTCAGTTCTTGCACCAGTAATGTTTATCGTCTACATAAACCATCTTCCAGAAGGAATATAGAATTATATGAACATGTTTACGGATGATGCTAAGATACTGAGGAAGACAGGACACGCAGACCATTGTAATGCTCTTGAAACTGATCTAGATAAAATAAGTGATTGGAGCGTCAAGTGGCAAATGGAATTCAATGTGAATAAATACCATGTTAT